GCCGCCGCCTAGGTGCCCCGCGCCCCCCTGGGCCGCCTGCTCAACGCCAAGTGCGCCTACCGGCCGCAGCCGAGCGAGCGCAGCCGCGGGGAGCCACGCCTTAGCAGCATCCAGTAGGAGGATTAGGAGGAGGACGACGACGACGCGGAGAAACGCGAAAGGGGAGCCCCCCAGCGCGAGCGGCCGGAGGTGCTCAGCCTGGCCCAAGACCTGAGGACGTGCAGCCTGCGAGCCCCAGCTGCTCCCGCAGCCCTGCGGCTGGAAGGCCGGCCCCAGGGAGCGGGAGGGCCAGGCGCGCTGAGAGCGGAGGGACAGGACTCAGGCCCAACCCACCAGACTCACAGCCTCCGACCCCGGCCCTGCCCGCCTCCGCTGCCCAGGTCCCCGGCCCGTGTCTCCCCTGTGGTCTCCGTGTTGTTTGCCCCGCCGCCTCATTTTGGCTCAGGGTGATGATGCCTGGTATGCCCTTGATTATTGCGGGTGTTCCTCGCTCCCCACTCCCATAGTGCCCGGGCCTGCCATTGTGGACCCGCCCCCTACGCTTTACACCAAGTTTCTTTGCCCACAGATCTCCTCATTCCCTTCCAAAACATCCTCTCAAGAGAAGGGAGGGTAAGTTTCCAGAAATCCAGGAGGGTGGGTTTGGATCCTGGCCAGGGTGGAGGCAACGACCCTGCCCTTGGTCCCCCCAGCCTTCTTCCCTGTGCCGGGGGTGGGGGATTACCCTGGAGAGGCATTCTCCTAGGGGAAGAATCTAGCGGCCGGGGAGCGTTGAGGCCGGGCCGGTGGTGGGCAGAGTCCGCTGCCATACACGCTGGGAGGAATTCCCACGCCCAAGCCCCGCCTCTCTACCCCTTGGAGGACTCCTGGGACTTGACTGCTCTGCCTCTGGAGAACACTGGGACGGTCCCACCGACGTTGAAACAACAGGTTAGGCCAGGTAACAGCCATGCACCAGGCCGCTGCCCTGGCACCCACCACGGGATTCTTCACCCGCCCCATCTCTCTGCAGATGGGTGTATGTGGTCCCTTCGTAGGGGCCCCTCAACCAGGTCCAAGATGGGGCTTCAAAGGAGGTAAGGAGAACCTTTGGCAGTGCTTGGGGACACTAACTACCTAGAAAGTAGACACAGCAGAGCTGCTCCCAAGTCGACGCTCCTCAGAGCAGGTGGGTCCTGACAGCTGCGGATTCTCCCAGCAGGACGAGGAAGGAGGGTGTGTTAACCCAACCAAGGGAGTGGACCCCCCCAGGTGTCTCTGCAAGGCCACAAAAAGCCCAAAGATCTATGTGTCACTGATCATTGTAAATAAAGTGGACCTGCTTTTTCAGCACTGTCACTAAAAACAAAAACAAACAACAACAACAAAAAACCTCCTTCCACCACATATTACTTCTCAAGTAGACCCCTCTGTGTGCAACACGGAAGTTCCTGGAATGTACCAGTTAAGGTACCCAGTCCAGGTTATGTTAAAACCCGGTGTTAATTATCTGTGGGAAAAACAATATCCTTTCAGGTGTGATGGCTCACGGCTGTAATGCCAGCACTTTGGGAGGCCAAAGTGGGCATATCACTTGAAGCCAGGAGTTAGAGACCAGCCTGGCCAACGTGGTGAAACCCCGTCTCTACTAAAAACACAAAAATTAGCTGGGTGTGGTGGTACATATCTGTAATCCCAACTACTCAGGAGGCTGAGGCAGGAGAATTGCTTAAACCTGGAAGGCAGAGGTTGCAGTGAGCCTCGTGCCACTGCACTCCAGCCTGGATGACAGAGTGAGACTGTGTCTCAAAAAAAAAAAAAATATATCCTTTTAGACCTGATGCTCAGAGAGGCATCCATCCCCTAATAATGAAGTGTGGATTACTACAGTTCTGTCAGTTTCAATGTAACACCCCCATTTTTCCTGTTAATAAGCCACACGGGGAACATAGGCTTGTTCAGGATCTCAGGGCAGGTAATTAGGCAGGAGTTGCGGTCATCCACTGCTTCTAATCCTTACGCCATAATAACTCCAGTCCCTGAAGATGTTGATTGGTTCAGTGTTCAATGCAAAAGATGTTTTCTTTTAAAACCTTTACCCCTATAGACTCCCAATACATTTTTGCATTACATATATTATAAGAGGGATCCATTAATTAACGGTGGTTCCTTTAACTCTTTTGCCAATGCATTGCCAAACAGATGGGGACTGTCCTAAAACCTTGGGGACAGGACAGTCCAAGTAAGCCAGGATGCAGCATGAGTGTCTGGATTAGTCCATTCAGATGCAAAAATGAGTGTCTACTTATGCTGCATCTTGGCATAAGTATCTCCTCAAAGGCCCAAATTTCTGTCCAAAGGGTAACGTCATGTATTTGGGACACATGCTCACTCCTGAGACCAGGATCTTGGCCCAGGGATGAAAAGGGACCATCTGGCACTCCACCTCTCTCAAATTCAGAAGGCTTTTTGAGAACAGCTGGATTCTGCCAGGTTTGGATTCCCAGGTTTGGGCTCATAGCAAAACCATTCTATGAACCTCCAAGAGGGAGTGGTCACAAGCCTTTGAATCTGAATGGAACCTGTCAACAGGCATTCTTAACCTTAAAAGAAAAGCTAGGAACAACCCCTGCTTTGAGACTCACAAAGTTAGAAAAACCTTTCACCTGCTGTGTGAAAAACAAGGGAGAGCTTTGGATGTTCTGACTGGAAGGCTCAGGAACTACTTCAGACCAGTGGGTTATTTCCCTGAACAGCTAGAGCAGGTGGCAGCTGGGCGGCCAGGAGGCTTGAGACCTGTGGCTACCATCACTCTATTGGTGGAAGAAGCCAGTAAGTTTACCTTAGGACAACAATGAGATGTCATAGTACCCCCACTTAATCCCCCACGAAGTACAGTACAGAGGGTCCTGGAGCCAAATGTATACCAACGGCTACCAGGGGACCAGCTGCTTAATTATCAGGTCCTTTTGCATGACTTCCCAGATGCTACCCTTAGAGTATGCTGATTTTTAAACCCTGCTACGCTGTTGCTGGACCTCACGTCTCAAGAAACAGATCCCCAACTCATGGACTTCTGTGTGGAAACCATGGAAGAGAGCTCTAGAAGGCCCAGCCTTAAAGACCAGCCCTTGTCTAACCCCAATGCTGAGTAGTGTAGAGAGGGAAATAGCATTATTTATGAGGGAATAAGAAAGGTAGGTTAGCCCACAAGAAGTCATTGAGGCCAAGGGTTTACCTTCTCATACTTCTGTTCAAAAAGCAGAGTTAGCTGCTCTAATTAGGACATTCCAACTATGGGAAGACTTAAGGTCGGGGCAGTGGCTCACGACTGTAATCCTAGCACTTTGGGAGGCAGGAGGCAGAAGTGGGTGGATCAATGGAGGTCAGGAGTTTGAGACTAGCCTGGCCAACATGGTGAAACCCCGTCTCTACTAAACATACAAAAATGAGCCAGGTGTGGTGGTGGGTGCCTGTAATCCCAGCTATTTGGGAGGCTGTGACATGAGAGTCACGTGAACCCAGGAGGCAGAGTTTGCAATAATCTGAGCTCAAGCAACTGCATTCCAGCCCGGGCGACAGAGCAAGACTCTGACAAAACAAGCAAACAAACGGAACGTAAGAGCCAATGTATTTGCGGACTGTGAATCTGGGTTCCTGGAGCTCCATGCTCCTGCAGCCATAGGGAAGGAAAGGGTCCCCCAAACAACTTTACTCAGAACTTTTAGATGCTGCCCAACTCCCAAAGGAAATAATTATTCGCTGCAGGGGACACCAGAGGGAGACACTTTTATTATTAGGGGAAATGGCCTGGTCGAAAGAGCAGCTAAGGCCACAGCTGAGGCAGGTGTTCCAGGCTGCTACACTACCACCGAGCACTCCATCCATGTCAGCAGCACCATGACTACTATGAGTCATCCTTTCTCGAAAGGAGAAGGTGCGCGGTGGGGCCTGGTGGGAAGTCTGGTTGGCAACCGCCTGTAGTTTGTTCTTGTCGAGCTGCTTCATTTTCTCGATGGCAGCATAAGCCTCCCGGAAAAGGTCCCAGCTTCTATAGCTGCAGTAGACACAGCAGAGTCGTGAAGAAGCAGAAAGAGAAGAAGTACCGATGGTTATAGGGGCCTGCACAATTCTTTAGCCGGGGGCAGTGATGATCCATCTTCAGCACACACCTGTTGCAGATGCTGCAGTGGTGCGTTCTGGCTGGCTTGGGGTAAATGCATTTCTTACAGATGGAGACCATGGCAATATCATTCCTGCCCTGGGGTGGGTATCCAGGCAGAGCGGTGATGGCCTGGTAGTAGTGGAAGACAATGAGGATCAGATTCCAGTGGCAGAGAAGAAATGCCAGCAGAGTCGTGGCACTGAATAGGTTCGGAGGATGAGAGGCAGGACACACAGGTAGGCGACAGCCACAAAGGAGCCTGTCAGCAAAATCACCAGCACAACAAACACCACTCTGAACCAGCGGATCACCTTGTCTACCAGCAAGTAGACAGGCTCAAAGGCAGCATCGACAGTGGTGTCACTGCCCCCAAAGGAGAGGTGGAGCAGGGAGTGCAGGCAGACCTTGCCATAGCGCCAGTGCTGTACTAGACCCCGGAGCAGAGGTGGACAGCGGCACCTGCAGCCCAGCAGCAGAAGCAGGTGGAGGCAGAGGCGGGCCGGGCCCAGCAGCAGGCTCCGCTGGCCTCGCATGGTTCTGCAGAACTGTGCCTGGGTTTGGCCAATGAGAAGTCGACTTCGTTTCCACTTGGGTTTTGGGACAGTGGCAATCATGGCGCCACCCATCAGATACCGCATTCCCGGTAAGTGAGCGCTTCCCGTACAGAGTCCTGGATAGAGATCGAAGCTGGAAGGCTGGACGGCCTAGAGCTTCTGGGGCCAGTGACTGATAGAGCATTTTTTCTGCAGACGAATGTCTGTGTAACTGGGAGGAGGGCAGCCCGGGCAGTGGCACCTACACCAGCCACAGTTACATCTTTTCATCGCTTGCCGGCTGCCTGATGAAGAGCAGCGAGAACAGCGCGGTAAAGGGAGCGGCTTGTCATCTCCTCTCTCTGTTTTCTCTTAGGCTTTCATTAAGCTCCAGTCCGTAGGCATGGGCACTGCGGACACGTCTTTAGAGCCTCGCCGGTACAATGTCGGTCTTAGTTTCTTCCAGCCGTGATTGCCCCTGGTGTGCACTTACACACCACAAACTGGTTGTGTTGATCTCGCTTGGTTGTGCTGCCAACCCTCGGGGAGGGAGGTTGGGACAAAAGCAGATGTGAACTCAGTAACCCAGCCCAGCCCAGCCCAGCAGTGAGTTGCATACTGTCTTATCCAAATTCTTACTGAAAGAAATTACCCCAAGATTTGGGTTACCAAAAGGTTTGCAAGGCGTTAACTGACCTCTCTTCACAGGGACGTGACCCAGTGAGGTAATGCCCCAGCTTTACACATTACCTATCTTCACTCCTCATGGAGATCTCAATCTTCATATAACATAGAAAGCCAGCCCATGACATCGGCAAAATTCTTTCAGGGGACCTCAGAGTCCTGAGTTTCTCTCCTACTCATAGCCCTTTTGCATGTGAGGATGGCTCTTTGCGAAGCGAACTTTAAAGCTTAGTCCATTTGAAATGACATGGAAGGCCTTTTAACCTTAGACCTCCTGTCTGATGAAGACACACAGAATATCAGCTTAGGCCGGGTTTAAAAGGCCCTTCAAGCATATGGAAATGAAATGTAACCTTCTCCCACAAGGAAAAGGATTAACTTCCCCATTCAACCAGGAGACTTAGTCTTTCTAAAAACTAAGAAAGAAGGATCCCAAGAATCAATTACAACTAAAATGAAAGGGCCCCTATCAGGAATTATTAAGCACTTCTACTGCTGTTAAATTTCAAAGTTTCTTATCTTTCTTTTTTGGCTGGGAGGGAGGAATGAAGGCTTGTTCTGTCACCCAGGCTGGAGTGCAGTGGCATGATCTCAGCTTGCTGTAATCTCTGCCTCCTGGGTTGAGGCAATTCTCCTGCCTCAGCCTCCTGAGTAGCTGGGATTACAGGCATGCACCACTATCCCCAGTTCATTTTTTTTTTTTTTTTTTTTTTTGTATTTTTAGTAGAGAAGAGGTTTCCCCATGTTGGCCAGGCTGGTCTTGAACTCCTGACCTCATGCTCTGCCTGCCTCAGCCTCCCAAGGTGTTGGGATTAAAGGTGTGAGCCAACATGCCGAGCCTCAGAGTTTCTTAGGAGTCCTCCTGGATGCCAGAGGAAGATGCCATGACCTACACTTGCAAACACCCAGATGACTTAAAGCTATTGTTTTGCAAATGCACAGAGAAGTATTAATAATCAGATGCTGTGGATGAGCATGAAGGCCTCAGTTTTTCTCTGACTCCTAATTATGATGTTTTCTATCTTACTGCTTTGCGCTGCTGATGGAATTCAATGAAGGCACCTCCACCAGCAGACAGGTGGTTTTTATCCTTCCTAAGACTTGCAGACACTTGCTTTTTACCTGTCCTAGAACCTTTAATAGGTATCTTGTTAGGACCTATCTTTGGTCCTTGCTTGTTGAACCTCCTTGTGAAGTTCGTGTCTTCTAGATTACAACAATTCCATGTAAAGATGATGCTGGCACCGGCTTCCAACCCACTCCCTCTTCTGACCCAGCAAATAAAGACATGCTGCCTTTCGGCCGTTTAGAACAGGTTTCCGGAGACTCGACTTCTCCGATGCTAGGCAGGGTCTGTGCCCATAACATCAGCAGGAAGCAGTTGCCATGAGCCTCTGCCCTTCTGCAAGACCATCTGTAAGATGAAGGAGGAGCATGTGATCTCCACGGGGAAATGAGGTAGGACGCCAGCAGGACTTATTTTCCAGTCACAATCCCACCGACAGAGCAGCATCTGGTCAACGCTTGGTGCGGAGGAGACGCCTGCTGAAAGCAGCCTATGAGGATGAAAGTGACCTCTACTCACTCACCGCCTGGTGCGGAGACTAGAAGAGCGTAGGAAGCACGGACAGTGGGGAGGGCGCTGCGCTTCGGGCTACCCAATGCGTGGACTATCTGCCGCCGCTGCTCGTGCAGTATGCTGAAGCTCCAGAACAGCTCAACGGAGTCGCCACACCACTGCTCGTGGTGGATCGCAGCGCTGCCTTTCCTTATGAAGAAGACACAAACTTGGATTCTCACTTGCATTTATTTTCAACTGTTCCTATTTAATTTTTTCGTCAAAACTGGAGGGGTCTGCAGGAATCGTGTGACTAATAATGTAAAAGACGTCACTAAATTGGTGGCAAATCTTCCGAAAGCGTATATGATAACCCTCAAATATGTCCCCGGGATGGATGTTTTGCCAAGTCATTGCTGGTTAAGTGAGATGGTAGTACAGTTGTTAAGCAGCTTGACTGATCTTCCGGACAAGTTTTCAAATATTTCTGAAGGCTTGAGTAATTATTCTATCATAGACAAACTTGTGAACACATTGGATGACCTTATGGAGTGCGTGGAAGAAAACTCATCTAAGGATCTAAAAAAACCATTCAAGAGCCCAGAACCCAGGCTCTTTACTCCTGAAGAATTCTTTAGAATTTTTAATAGATCTTCAGATGCCTTTAAGGACGTTGTAGTGGCATCTGAAACTAGTGATTGTATGGCTGCTTCAACATTAAGTCCTGAGAAAGAGTCCAGAGTCAGTGCCACAAAACCATTGATGTTACCCTCTGTTGCAGCCAACTCCCTCAGGAATGACAGCAGTAGCGGTAATAGGAAGGCCAAAAATCCCCCTGGAGATTCCGGCCTATACTGGGAAGCCATGGCATTGCCAGCCCTCTTTTCTCTTATAATTGGCTTTGCTTTTGGAGCCTTATACTGGAAAAAGAGACAGCCAAGTCTTACAAGGACAGTTGAAAATACACGAACTAATGAAGAGGATAATGAGGTAATTATGCTGCAAGAGAAAGAAAGAGAATTTCAAGAAGTGTAATTGTGGCTTGTATCGACACTGTTACTTTCGTACATTGGCTGGTAACAGTTCATGTTTGCTTCATAAATTAAGCAGCTTTAAACAAATTCAAATTCTGTCTGGAGTGACAGACCACATCTTTATCTGTTCTTGCTGCCTATGACTTATTTCTATGGATGATTCTGAAATTGGAACAGAATGTTTTACTGTGAAACTGGCACTGAATTAATCATCTATAAGGAAGAACTTGCATGGAGCAGGACTCTATAGTACCTGCGGCTGATGTTGGAAGAAAAGCACGTGTCTCAGACTGCATGCACCATTTGCATGGCCCCAGAAATGTCTAAATACTGAAAAAAACACCTAGCTTTATTCCCCAGCTACAAACTGCAGCCTTAGTTATCCTGGTCACTGCAAGTAGATTTCAGCCTGGATAGTAGCGGTAACAATTTTTCTCAAAGGGATCTGGAAAAAAAATGTGTAAAACTCAGTAGCATCAGCCACTGTACAGTATAGAAAGCAGTGGGAACTGTGATTGGAGTTGGCAACATGTCAGTTTATAGTTACTGATGAGTTATATGGGTCTGATTTTGATCTCTTCCTGATGTAAACTATGCTCACCCATATCCCGCCAAACACATGTAAATGGTTGCCTGGTTCCATCCATGTAGGGAGACAGTACTGAATTACGTGTTGGCTGAGGGGAGACTCTCCAAAAGAGTCATCGCAGGAAGAAGTTAAGAACACCGAGCAGCAGAGCACTTTGCTGAGGAGGACACTGGCACCCCTGGAAAAGTCTGCGTTTTCCCTTGACCGCTATAGAGTGTATAAATTGTGTTTGCAAAATATGTTATGACATGTTTATATTCTACAACTATTACAAAGCTATGTAAAGGGACTTAGGAGAAAACGCTGAATGTAATATGGTCCCATTTTCAATTTCCACCCCAGGAGAGAATAAAAATAAATCATGATATTTAGTATCTAAGGTTAGAAAACCACACCCACATGTTAATATGGGTGTTGAAAACTAGGTTACTTGGAATGCAAGGAATCGCGAAACTAGTTATTTATAGCATAATCACCATTATCTATTTAAAGGATCCATTTATTTAAAATCAGGCACTATATATTCACTAAGGTTTATGAATTAAAAATTAAAAGAAAGCTTTATGTAGTTATGCATGTCAGCGTGCTATTTAAAATGTGTGACAGTGTTTGTCATATTAAGAGTGAATGTGGCAGGAATTCCCAAGATGGATATTGTGCTTTTAAACTAGAACTTGTAAGACACTATGTGAATATCCCTTGCCAATTTTTTTTATAGTCAAGAAAACATCTGACTAAAGTCAATGAGTGATTTCTCATTGATTATGTTTACTTTGATGAAGGTCCTTTTAACATGTCTTGAATGTACACACAAAGGAATCCAAAGCTTTCCATTCTAACTTAACCTTGGTGATAAGTGTTGCCATGTTCTACAACCGTGAGATGACCGTTTTCAATATAGAGATACAAAAGGGCATGAAAAACTCATTGCTAGCTTTGCTTTCATTTCAAAAATCCAAGAATTTCTAATATATTTGGATTTTAGCTTCTGTTCAAAGCTAATCCAGATACAACTCCAGTAAGTGGCCCTTGCTCTTTTCTGTACCAAAGAGCCCAGATGATTCCTACAGTCCCTTTCTTCTCTAACATGCTGTGGTTCCTTAAATACGAATAATTTCTCTAAGATATAACCCAGGTGCTTTGAGAAACTTTATTATGGTGTTCACGCCCTCAGATATCCCATGGATACTTGATTGTCATAAAACCAGACATCAATTTAATTGCTGATAGGTCCATCTCAGTGTGTGGCATTGAATTGTTTTCAGGAAAATAGATATAGATTACTATGAGTTATGTGTATAGGTTGTGTGTAGATTGAGAATAGTAGATACTTCTCAATCTAGTAGTTTGATTTATTTAACCAGTGGTTTCAGTTTGCTTGAGCATATGAAAATGCTGCTTAGTGTGCTTGAGAGTATAATAAATGTACTTTTGTCCTCAAACCTAGTAGCTTGGTTTTAACACTCAAGGACATGGTCTTAATCAATAGAGTTAAATAAACAAATTAAGCAAATTATTAAATCTGACATGGTAGGAGAGGAAAGATGTGTTCTACCTATTAAATGTTTTGGTCCATTGAAAGTTACATGGATTGCCGATTTTTAAAACACTAAAGTTTAATAAAATGCATGAACAATAGAAAAATGATGAACACTATTTTGGATGCTAGCTGCTTGGACATTAACTGTGTCATTTCTGCTTTGAGAAAAAATAGGAATTTATCTTTGCTTATTAAAAAAAAGTGACCTCTAGTTGCCCTCACTGCCATTTGCACGAAGACACTCCCACTGAGACCATGGCCAGTTTAGAAATGCCATGGCAACACACCTTGGCAATAGCCTGGGAGTTACTTTATATTTGGAAAGTCCCTGTCCCTTTTCTAGAAAGTTCTGAATAACCTACCTCTTAATTGGCATATAATTAAAAGTGCATGTAAATACAACTAGCTAGTAGCCCACAGGCACCAGCCCTATGGGGCTAACCCCTAGGCAGTGTGCCCAGGAAAGGAAACTACAGTTTGGAAGAAATTTCCCAGGCCAAGAACCAGTTTGGGGACTTACCTGCTCTGCGTCACTATCGCTGTTTCCTTGGGTTTCCCAGGAATGCACCTGTGTGACGCTGCCCTGCTTATGGATGTTTCCTTGCAAGGAAACAGGATATCCTGCCTGCAGCTTCCAGAGTTGGAGATACATGTAGTTTCACTACTGAGCGCTAATATTAATTTTGGAATCAAGGGATGTGTTCAGAATGTTTGCTATTATTCTGTGGCATACATGTAGTGAACACACTCACGATTGAGTTTCCTGCTTTTAGCTGGAGCAAGAAAGTTTGTAATTGTGATTTGTACCAAAAAATCATAGGCAAGAGAATGTGTATACAATAAACTTTATTGTCAGAGGCGTCTAAACTCTCATCCTTCAAGGCAAACAGACATATGCTGAAGAGCTGAGAAGCTGATAAATAGTCTACAGCAGGGTTATTCTAACTTAGTCTTGATTCCAAGTCCTTGCCATTTTCCCCCAGCTGCTGTTGACTCCAGTTATACACAGGATGGGGAAAGGGGATTATCTGTGAATCCAGGCATTGCTGTCTCTCAGGCAGTTGTCACATTTGCAGGGTGAAGGGATATGATTTCTACAAATAACTATTCATTTGGAGCACAAATCTGGAGTGGATGTAAAATTTGGTTCTCAGAGATGTAGCTTTCGTATTTGGACGTTCAATTGTTCTGTTGTTTTAGTTTTTCTTCTCAACTGAGTAACTGTGACTAAGCTTTGTTAAAAGTAGAGAAGAACTTTTCATAGTTTCAACATTAGTCATTACCTGAAACAGACAAACACACACAGCACTGAACATTCATCTGTGGTCAGGTGCTGCTGATACCTAACTGAGGCTGAGTGAGAGCTGGGTGGTGACATAGGCCAGGTGCAAACTGAGTGCGGCTAAGTGGATCCTCTCTGGTAGTGACCTACAGTCTGGAAGGAGACACTAATAACAGATGGAAAAGAAAGTCTCCTGAGATGAACTAGCGGCCTGCGGCGTTGGACACAGGACCCACTCACCTTATGATTCTAAAAACCTTGCTCAAGCCCACTGCAGATGAGCTAGCTAGGTCCCTACCTCCTCCTCACCATCAACTCCAGAGGAGTATTATGGAGAGAAATAAGGGTCTTTGACACCTCCCAGGAAGGGATTTGCTTAGCCTTAAACATGCACATTCAGAAACAGCTTGTCAGGAAAAATAGAGGATATTTTGCAGAGAAATAACCCTCCTAAATCCACGTCCTATTCCTTTTAAATAAGCGATGGTGCCAAGGGAAGAGCCCTAGGATGTGGAAGCAGCAGGTGCTCAGACACCACCAAGTGCAGCTCCATCTTAGCCAAAGGAGACAATGGTGACGAGAGGCTAAGGCCAGATGACCTGAGAGTGAGAGGCCTGCAGTGAGAATCGAGGCCTCACACGTTTCTACCACATCAGAGTTTAGGAAAAGTTAGAGGGAAGGCTTCAGTCCGGAGAACAATAACAGGCTCTAGAGACTCCTAAGTCCTGCTGGCTGGGACAGAAATGAGGCTTCACAGAAATCTGTTTATAGTCAATGTTCTCTTACAGCAAATGTTCTTTGAGAGTTTGCTTGATAAAAAGGCTGAGAAAAGCTGAAAATGTTTTAATTGCAATTCTGAAGCACTTGTGGGTTGTGAAATCAATAGAGTGGACTGCTTACTACCGCAGGCTTTCCGTGAATGCTAGGGAGGATGCATTACACATAGTCAACGAGCTTTAAAAAGCTGATCACAAAGAATTGTATATTTCTGACTGCATCTTGTGGTCAAAAACGTTTGAGAAACTGCTCTACATAGGCAAACTGTAGGTTCACTCTATCCATCTACCGCTTTTTCTCTTCTCCTTTTTCCATGCTGTGCAGACAAGACCATTGAGAGACGAAGGTAAATTCCATCGATGGCCGATGTTAAGTCTTTTCTATGAGGTAACTGCACATTTGCAACACCTCTGTGCTGGTGATTGAGATTCTAGTAGATAGACGGTCCTTTTAATCTCTAGCCGCATGTTACAATTATCTGGGAGCTCTTTAAGACTGCTCGTGGCTTCCCCCACCTGGAAGCATTTCAATCAGAATCTCTATGTGTAGAGCTCAGGCACTTGTGTTAGTTAAAACCTCATCAGGTTTTATAATGTGACAGAATGACTTAAAGCCACTGAGTAGACCCTCTCTATTTCCCACCGAGTAGACCCACCCTATTTCCCACCGAGTAGACCCGCCCTATTTCCCACCATTCTCTTTGTTTCTCTTACACCACAGGCTTCTTTCCGACTCTCACCATCTCAAGTCAATCACTATCTTTCTCAATTGGACTCCAAGGCAAAGTTGGCCTCTGGATTCCCTTTTCCCAAAGCTCATTCATCCCAAAGGCTCCCTTCAAGTCAATAGCTGGGCTTTTAGACACCTGCACGTCATGGGGAAATACTCTGCGGCAGGGTTGCCGGGTGCTGTGGGATTCACAGAAACTCCCATGTTTGCCAGCTCCGAACCATCAGGCCAGCTTGTGCCTAAGTGACTCCAGTAGTCTGGGGATAGTCCTCACTCAGAAGGGTCTTTGGAAGCAAAAGCAAACATAGGAATGAGAGGGTTAGAAAAAACAAAAAACTCCCATGTGATCTTGGCTTATCTAACCGAACTTGTGCCAGAATGGACCCTGAGGTGGGCACTGTGCACAGCAGAGCTTGGTTAGTACCAGGTCTGGAGTTTAAGGGACAGGCTGAAGAGCCTTTGCAGGTTTGTGAACATTTTTGTGTTTGAACATTTTTGTTTTTGTTTGATTTTTCTCCTCAGTGGTAAGAGCTAGGCACTCGAAGGGAGCTGGGATGTTATCATGTCAACCAGCAAACGTGTATTTTGCCAAGGGCCAGATGACCCATGCTGATTTCAATTTTTCAGTGTCTTATTTCCATCAGTTTGAAATGAGCACTTCTGTGCTGTTTTCGGCCTATGGCACCTTTTTGATTTCATACTTCCTCAGAGACCAGTAACTTAGAACCTAGATTATGATTCTTATTCCTTCAGCACTCTAGGGGAAAGCTGATTTAATCTTGATAAAAAGTATTCAGTTAAAATCGTTGTTTTCTTAATTCTTTTCACCTTTTAAGTTTGTTCTTCTCTTCTCAGTTTGCAATAGTGGAGTGTGGCTTGTACCTAAATAGTGTCTTTCTCAGAGCTGCTTAGTCCTGGAGCCGGCAGTGTGGGGCCTGTAGGGGGAGCATCTAGGAAGCAGCCTCTCTACATTGAGAATAATGAGAATTGTGGGTCATGAGGCTTTGGGCAGCTCTGGCCTCCCTGTGCTCTTTTGTTTCCACAGTGGGGTGTGACAAAAGAAGGGACCCATCTGAGAGTGACTTCATATTGTGGCTTTTTAGAACTTACCTCTGGAAATTTGATTCGGGTAAACCAGGGGAGTCTCTGGTATTCTCTGAGAACTCTGTCTTCATTATGCAGCTGGACAATGGAATCTGTATCTTCCCATAGAGCTCAGAAGTGCATCCTCTTCCAGGAAATCATGACAATTCAGGCATGTTGTACACATTTGCTTAAGAGAATGCTTTCTGCACATTTCATGTTCTTTGTCTCTATCTTAGCCCAGGAAGAGTCGGTGGGGACTCAGGGGTAGAACTTAGTGCAATGGGGCAGAAGGTTCATTTTCACATGTTTCTCAACAAATGCCAGCACATCACATGGATTCATGCCCAATGGCTGCAATATGAAGGAGGCTTTTCCAAAATAGTTGCTGCTTTGGTGTGGGAAGGGACCTGGTGACTGTTCTTCTGGCCCAGTACAATGTTGTGAAATGATGGCCTCTGTGTGAGTGCAATCTAGGAGGAGGGGGTTGGAGAGAATGGCCTTGGAGTGGTAGAATGAAGAGTAACCAAGACCTAAGGGAAGCTGATGAGATCGCAGCAGAGGAGACTCATTCTGCTACATGGGCTGCTCGGAAACCTGTGTTTTACTGAATGCCAATCACACAAGAAGCATGGAGACAGCAGGCAGGGTACAGCAGCAGGCAGATGACAGCAGACAGCCTAGGAATCATGAGAACGATTTTGGAGGTAGATACCCCTGAGATGTAGGCAAATCTCTGTCAAAGCCTATTTATCCACCTATAAGGGGGAATGGTAGTAGCTGCCCTACCTCTCTAGCTGGGACATTTATAGTGAATAAGTGAAGTATGTCAAAGTGCTTGAAATCTATAAAGCTCTGCCCCAGTCACATGCCTTTAGAAAATACATAGTACCAGAACAGACCGACTTGAGCCTCTCCTGCCCTTTTTTCCCTCAAAGCTGCTGAGACAACGTTCCAGCTTTTCTCGCAGGCAGTTGTTGATGAAAAGGGTTTCCTTCAGGTGCTGCCGCTGGCTCTGGGTCTCCTCTCCTGCAGCCATTCCCCCAGGACATGGAGTGAGATGCGAAATGAAGAATGCCGATCACTAGAGGGGTAGACAGGGGCCTGTCATCAAGATCCCTGCCTTTCACCATTCTTTTGCCAACTTCATCTTCTCATCAGAAAACAAAAGGCAACTTCCTGTAAGAGCTCTTCAGGTTTCCAGCAAAGCACGGCCAAGTGCTAAGCAAACTCCACAGCGCTGCCTCCCACATGGAGATATGGGAGGTATAAGGCAGGTGGAAGGAGGTGGGAAATCACTGAAGGTCTCTGAGCAGGGCTTTACCAGCACTGGGAAAGGTGTGACCTCCTCCTCGAGATGTCTTGTAGGTACTACCTCTCTACAAAATATTTCTCCTGAGCTTTTTTTTTTGAGACAGAGTCTCATTCTGTCACCCAGGCTGGAGTGCAGAGGCCCCATCTTGGCTCACTGCAACCTCCATCTCCCAGGTTCAAAGGATTCTCATGCCTCAGGATCCTGAGTAGCTGAGACTATAGGGATGCACCAGCATGTCTGGCTAATTTTTGTATTTTTAGTACAGATGAAGTTTCCCCTTGTTGGCCAGGCTGGTCTTGAACTTCTGACCTCAAGTGATCCACCCACCTAGGCCTCCCAAAGTGCTGGGATTACAGGTGTGAACCACTCTGCCTAACCCAGATCTTTAACAGTTGGTAAAGACCTTGATCTGCACCTTACAGTGACATTGGAAAGAAAAATAAGGATGCCTTCATCAGAGGATGAAGTAATAGAGTAATAGAAGCCACATACCTATACCCACCACTGACAAAATGACAAGCCTAATACGGTTTATATTACTATAAAAGCTCAGTGAGTGAATTCATATAGTCTTTTTCTCTTGCCTAGAAGAATATATAAGGTGTATGGTCCCCTAACGACCCAAAGTTTTGCCCCTAAAGTGAATTCAAACACTCAAGTAAGGGAGAGGAGA